ATATTTTATTCAATATTATTATTCAATATTTTAATTAATAAGTAATGTTCAATAAATCAAAATAAATACTTGACTTCAGGCATCAAATATTTCTTGTCGGTGCAAATTATGTAGGCTTCATAATTAAATTAATCATGCCGAGAGGCAGCCACGAAGAAGCGATCCATCCAGACAAATTTGATGCCATCGAGTTCATCGATTTCTCTTTAATCCTCGCCGTTATGTGCTCTTTAAGATAACCGCTGATCAAACGCAACGGCTGTTAAAACAGAAACGCCCGCTTCTCCGAGTCCCGCGAACAACGAGCATTCACGTCGATCCATCGGAGCAAACGATTAAATCCGCTCTTTCCCCGAAACTAATTAAATTAATGATCCCCCCCTCGGGCGAATCCTCGCCGTTTAGATAGAGTCCGGGTACCGCCTTCCACGCCTCGACAACTCGAGGGTACCGCAACGCCGTCTTTATCCCTTTATCTTCATTCGATTCAGCCAGTCGCTTCATTATCGTTTCTCTCGCGCGGCTTGACGTTACCCGAAAATCGCACGAGAAGAAATTGCATTATCTCTGAGTCATCAATTTCGACGGCGTCAAATGTCAAACACGATCGAACGCTACTTATCAGATAATAATTTTTTAAAAATGTACTATATAATGATGAGATTAATCTGATGGTATATCTTTTGAATAAAATACCGTTCCCGATGAATTATAGAGTAAATACGGGAAATATTTTATATTTTAGATTGGATTTTAATCAATTTTTTATAAAGAGCAAAGGTAATAAGAAGTTCTTATAATAATAAATATTTAAAAAAACAAAAAATGTATAAAATGTAGAAAACAGGAGAAATCTATTTAACAATGTACAGAGTATATAAATATTTTAAAAGCTATAAATGTGCTCTCTCTGTGTACAATTTTCCAAACACCGATCCGATACACGAATAGACCCAATACATAAATAACATACACAATATCGCTTTAGGTGCTTTAATCATTACTCACAGATTGCATCGTAGAAACAGGAAATGAGACTCGTGAGGAAATGTACATGATATAGCAACCATTGATTTCCACAATAAAAAATAAATGTTTATGACAGATATGATTTATTGTCAATTGTAAGCAATCAGAAATTGTATATAATTAACAAATTGATGTAGATATTGAGAAATTGGTTTATGCAAAGTGGTTAAACGCAAGTCGTTTAAGCTTTAAAGAATTGTTAATTACATTTGATTTCTAAAAGAAGAGAATATTGATGAAAGAGTTTTTGTTATTATAAGTTTTTCAGACATTAAATAAAATGAAAGAATTAGGATATATTTTTATATTTATGTATTTCTCGCACTTTTTTCAATCTCAATTTATTTTTAAAATATGTTTTTATATGTATTCTATTTCAGTATTCAATCAACATTAAAAGTATAAAAGTTTATTATATTAACAAAAAATGTATTATATATACAAAAGTTTATTGTAAACGAATTTAATTATTCAAACAACTAATTGTTCGATAAATACGTATAAAAACGAGACTCCAATGTGATAGTAAATGAGATGTTGTGTGTTGTGTATTACATATGTGGCAGGACAGAGGAATACATTTCGCAATATTCTGGAGCGGAATTTCGCTTTTGCCACTCGTTGTACGAACCGATCGGCTAGATTGCAGAAACAGGAAACGATATAAAAGCGGCTTGATGCGAGCGCAACGCTTGATCTCGATATCTTGAAGATCCGATCGGAGATCCGGTGGTGCGACTCCGTTCGGCTACGTGTGCGATCGATCGATCGATCCTGCCTCGGAGAAGCAGCCGACGGCAAACGTTAATTATCACGCGTTATTTTTAGTTATCGATGCGAGAGAGCCGCACAGTCATCGCGTAAGCGTCATTAAAAAATGTGTTTCTCGCGCGGCATTGCCTCTTAAAAGAGAATCATCTAAGAGACTTAAAATCGGAAAGAAACAAAAAAAAGAGAGAGAAGAAAGATGCGGAGAAAAGCGGGAGAGAGAGAGAGAGAGAGAGAGAGAGAGAGAGAGAGAGAGAGAGAGAAGAACGAAGGAGAGAGAGAGAGAGACGAAGAGCAAGAACGTAAACGAAAGTACCCACCGAAGTTAATTATTCTCGGTGGCCGAACTGTGACTGGCTGTTAATTACCTCGTAAACGAGCTATTGAACGGTCCAAGCGTTTCATCGAAATACAACAATCTAGAATGATGTGATACATCGTCATGAATGAATCTGAAATACCTCTTTTGCATCTTCATATAAATACAATAAATACCGTAACAAAAATCAAAAAGAATAAAATATATATAGATAATACTTTTAGCATGCAGAATTTTTTCTCGATTATCTTGGAAAATGTGAAAAACATTTAAATATAGTACAGTAAATTATAATTTCAAGGTAACAATAGAACATAGAAAAAAATTGTTTGATCGCTGTAATAAAATAATTTCAAATTATTCTAAATAGTTATTCAAATCTTTTTAACAAGTTTTCTATTAATTTTGTAGAGTATTTTTTTAAAAAAACTAAAAATCTCATATTCTCTCTACCTCTCATATACACTTTATTTATTAAAACTGAAAAAATTATTTACTAGAAGTTACATCTTCAAAAATATTTAATTACGATTGACTAATACTTTCAAATATGCCACTTAATTAGAACACACACACACACACACACACACACACACACACACACACACACACACACACACACACACACACACACACACACACACACACACACACACACACATACATTAATATAATTTATTTATATATGCGTTTACAAATAAACCCTTCAGGGAAAACCGCTCATAAATTACATTAAATTACACCGGCCGGAAACACTTTACCCTCTTCGCGCTTTCTCTCTCCACACGTTTCTCCTGTCTCTCGGCATTTTTGTTGCTCGTCGTTACTTCGAGCGCGCACGTTCCACGCGATATCACCCGCCGATATGAAGGAATCGATATCTGCGAGAGACCGCCTTTGATCGTCCTGGAGTAACGAGGTAAAAGGGTTGCGTTCGCACTCGCGGTACTCCCTACGCGCGGTGGAGATTCGACGCGGTCGCCGTCGTGCCGCTAAATATAAAGCAAAGAGGCGGGGAAGGGGGCTGCGGAATGTCCTGACGCTTAATATTCTCGGAGCAGACGCGCGTTTTACGAGGTCGCGCGGGATTCGGTCGGAATTTTCGACAATATTTTAAAAGACCTCACACGCACCACGTCCAGGATACGACGTCGCTTCTGCCTTCTCATGTCCGTACCGGAAACCGTCGAAATTTAAGAAACTAGATTATGCACGAAAGAAAGTAGTGAAAAGCACCGGGCACAGTCCGAGAGATTTAATATATTAGAAAAATATCGTCGGCAGCATCGTATGGACATCGTTATACTCACGGATCACGTGAATGATCTCGAGAATACATTCTGCAGGATTTAGGCCCGGTTACAACATTATTCTGAATTTATGCGATATTTAAAACTTTAAATTTGTTGTAACAAAGCAAAAGTAATATCTAAAATATTTTAATTTATGCTTATTTTATTAAGATTAATGCAAATTAAAGCACTTTAGATTTTACTTTTGGTACAACAAATTTAATGTTTTAAGTGACTGAGTCTAATGTAACGAATTAATTAACTGCAGTGCAGAATGAATATGTTGAGAAATATCTTATGGCATATCAATTGGGCGTTTAATGATTAGACACTGTATAACAAGAATGTTATCAAAGTTAAGAATAATTACATGTGCATTTATTAAACATTCTGGTTCATTCTAAGTGTATCAGAAATTCTCGTGAAAAACTGAAAACTTCGAATAATTTATAATTGATATCTTGATATTTCATCATGTCAACTGATTACGTACGACTTTATCTTTTATTTATGACTTCATCGATAATTTATTTTATTGATGTAAATCAAGTGACGCATATAAATACATACATAAAACGTGTATTGATATGACAGTACGTAAAACAGGATTGATTCTCTTGGAATCAAGTAGTTTGCTTTCAGTAAAATTCAATCGCGATATACTTCAGACGTTTTGTTACGCTGATTTGCATAATGTTCAATGCGTTATGGATAAACGGCTGTAATCCACGTGCGCGTAATATTTACATCTTATGCAAATCTGAGTGTCATAATGTCAATGGCCGCATATCGTATAGCAGTGATATCGTAATCTGCATTTAAAAGACATTCATAAAAGAAAATAAAGACGCATCGTGTGCAAAATATTATAAAATTTAAAATAGTTAAATAAAATATTTTATAGCAGAAATATACATCACGTTGAACAATGACAGAGAATCTTTGTAATTTGTATTATGTGGAGTATATTTATTTATGAGAACCAATATGTGTTACATAAATAAGATAACATTCTTAATAAAATATTAATTTTTAATAAATAAAACATTTTAAATAACACGTTATGATTAAAATAATTATTGTAGCTTTAAAAATGTAATTATTTTAAAGAATTAAATAATCTCAATATTATATTAATATTAGATTATCATTTGAATAAAACGTCGTTTTAAATGCTTCTTATAATACCATTAGTTTCATTAATAATTTTGCATCTAAGACTGCATTGGCTCAATGTTCTTTAAATCATTTTTGTAACAAAATCTTTATTCGCGAGCAAAATAATAAAATAATACTGTTAGAAATAATTACAAAATTATTACTAAATCACCATTTTTTCAATACAAACATTTTTCATAAAAATTAAAATTTTCTCAAGAAATGTCTCATGGCTTTAATTAAGAAAAGGTAGCTCAAAATTTTTAAAATTCAGAATTTCTGCAAAAAATCTCGAATTTCGAAAAAAGTTAAATAAAATTTTCAATTCTTATTTAACAAAATTCAATATCGAATATTGTGATTTAAAAGCACTGAACCAGGTTAGCTTAGATTAACTGTGAAAGCAATAGATACAGCAAATAGCAGGCACTTACCTTGCCTAAAGTTGTGTCGAAATCCACGTGCTTCAGCATTCAGATCATTGAGGATCAATGTAAAGATGACAACGACGAGGCGTTGTAACGTCACGTTGCCCACGAGTTTCTTCTTCATGGCAGTGGCCATGGTCCACGAGAATTCCCGCAATTCTTTGATACCACTGAACAAAGGCGATCATTGACAGAAGCACTCACACAGTCTGTAAATCGTCGAATGCGAAAAAAAAAGAGCAAAATCCCGATTCGCTTTCGCGCGCTCGTTATCGTGTCTCTCTCTACTCCGAGTCTCGTCATTCATTAATTCGCGCCGCGTCGTTGCACGTCATGTTGATCACCCTGTGATAGATCGCGCACGGAAATCAGTATTTATCGCACTTGGTATCGTATTTTCGTTCCGCTAATCCGTTGACGACTGCTGCCAATTTTTAGACGATCCTTCAATCACACCGGATCGCACCGCCTCGCATTTCCGCCTTCTTCACGTGACGAAATTTCTAGAATGATCATGTCATCTCCATTAAGATTTTCAGAACAATACCCTATACTAATCCTTTTCGGAAAATTCTTTCGTCGCGCCGACACAAACGATCTCGATTACGATCAAATCCGAAATTGATTTTTATCTATGTGCGATGTAAATTTCGCGAAAGTTTTACGAGTGACAAGCGAGAACGACGAACGCTTCTTCGGAAGTGAAGCTATGTGATTTTGGCAACGAGTATACCACGTGACCGCGGTTTAAACTCGCACGAACAAGAAAGTCCACTTTGACGGCGCGAAATATTTTCCGATGCACTTTCCACTTGTTGCTCTTCCGACAAGCGAGACAAGATCTTTCACCGGCGCGCGTTTATTTTGCTCTTCGCGTACGAGAGCAAACGATGAAAAATCATCTCGCGGTGCACCACTCCGAGAGTTTGCATGAGCAACACGAGAACGAAACGGAGATGTCTTACTTCTTTTTCCAATTCGTTCACGAGAACAGAAACTGGAGAGATAATTCTGAAATTCGGTATCGAAAGAAAAAGTGAGAGAGAAAATATGTGCACGTTTTGGAAAAAGAGGAGAGAGAGGGAAAAACTCGTGCGTCGAACGACGCTCCGACATCACCGTGCTGAAGGTCGAGAGCGAACTGAGTTAAGCTAACGTCGAATCACCACCATCGCTGAGCGCCGCGGTCACCCCCACCCCTCTTCATTTAACGGTGCGACGGCGCGCGTCGCACGCACATAAATGTGTATGCCTGAACTCTCGCTCATGTTTACTTTCGCGTTCTCTCTCTCTCTCCCTCTCAACGCTTACCTTCACCTTTTTAGAAAATACCAAAATCATAACAATACATAAACGTATATTGTAGGATTTCTATAAGCGATATATTTTAAAAATAGAACCTCAGAAACCAAATTTAAATAATAACTAATTAAATTATAAATTAAATAATAAAGTTAAAAAGTTACTAACTTTAAACTTAACTTTATTTAAAATAAATTAACTTTTAACTTCAACTAATTATCTCTGAGTGTGTGTTCACTTAATGCTACAAATGCTTCGAAGCATTTTTTGATTGGTTCATAAAATTCTTTATTCTGATTGGTTAATCAAACGCTTCGAAGCACTTTACAGCACCAGGTGAATCACACTCTTTAAGAAATATTAATTTTAACTTTTTTAAATTTAAATTTCTTAATTAATTTTTTTAAATTTTTATTTTTCTAAATAAAATATTTGCAAATATTTTTTTTTATAAAATTTTAAACATTAGATCATAGTATATTTTAATAAAACAATATTTTTAAAAATTTACTTTCAAATTAATTCAAATTTACTTAATTTTAACTTAACTGTAACTAAGTTTTTTGACTATGTGACTTTTAATTTAGCTAACTTAATCTTACTAGATCACTAACTTTAACTTAACTTAGTTAAAAAATAAAATTAATTTATTTTGCCAGAAACGTAACGATTATAGACCTACATTTCCATCTTAACTTACATTTCCATCTTAAAGAAATAGTTAATTAGTATCCAGAACTTCTCGTACTATTCATTTTTTCTCTTTTTTCTTGATATTAATGGGAAAGAGGATAGATGAATGATGCATGAAGTTAATTAAAAAGAAAGGCCTTGTAATATTAAGTTTCTTTGAATTTTTAAATATTTAAATGGATTTGAATTGCATGTAAGTACGATGACCAGAATGCTAAATGTGGAAATAGGCGATCGTTTTATGCGTATAAATGACTATAAAGAGAATTATATTCATTTATGAAATGCGACAATCATATTTATTACATCATAACAGAATAAGATCTCATGCGCATATTCATTAGAACAGAATATGTTGCTCGCATAATAATGAAAATACCGAAAATATCAAGAGAAACGCAATTTAGCAGCATACAATATTAAGTCGTTTATAATAGGTACGAAATTTTCCTATCGAGGTCAGTTATTTTGTTTTTATTTGATGTACATATTTACGCGTGCGATACTATCCTGAAGTCGTGTGACGTCACACGCCGGCGCGGCGGCGTATCGCGGTACGCTCAGTCTTTTTGCTGCATCATATTTGTTCGCGCAGTGCTCTGGATAGGACATTCCATATTTCTCGCATTTTCGAAATTACACACAGATACGATATCTAGAATACCGAATGTGGAAATACAATAAATATACTTCCCACATAGTTTTTCCCACCTTCTTCCCACATAGTTTTTCCCATCTTCTTCCCACATAGTTTTTCCCATCTTCTTCCCACATAGTTTTTCCCATTTC